CTACTACTAATAATAATACGACTGCTACTACGAAAATTATTATGCATACGAGGAGTACGGCTACTACTACTGCTACTACTACTACTACTACTACTACTACTACTACTACTACTACTACTTCTACTACTACTACGACTACTTGTACTAATACTACTACTACTACTACTACTACTACTACTACTACTACTACTACTACTACTGCGACTACTACTTTATTAATGCTACTACTACTAATACTGCTACTACTACGATTACTACTACTAATAATACCACTGCTAATTCTAATACTACTACTACTACTGCTGCTGCTACTGCTGCTACGACTACTACGAATACAACTATACGACTACTACTACTACTACTACTACTACGACTACTACTACTACTACTACTACTACTACTACTACTACTACTACTACTACTACTACTACTACTACTACTAACTACTAACTACTAACTACTAACTACTAAACACTAACTACTAACTACTAACTACTAACTACTAACCACTAGCCACTAACTACTAACTACTGACTACTAGCTACTAACTACTACTAACTACTACTACTACTACTACTACTACTACTACTACTACTACTACTACTACTACTACTACTACCACCTCTACTACTACTACTACTACTACTACTACTACTACTACTACGACTACGACTACTACTACTACTACTACTACCACTAGCCTGCTCTACCTTTACAAGTACCACGGAACGAGCAGTAGTACGACTAACAGTGCCACGAGTTTTGATCACGAGTATTGCATGTACGAGTGCAACAAGAGTTGTTTACTTTCAGGAGACGACCACCACGAGCACTGTCACCACAACTGCAAGAACTACGACCACTACAGCAAGTAAACGAGAGCAACTACAATTACGGCACACACAACACTACAACAAGAACTATCACCACGACGACAAGTACTACGAGTAGTATTTCTATTACAATTGAGCGCGAGCAGCGTTACATAGCAGTGCGAGCATGCCACGTAAGAGCCTGCGTCATCGGTTTCTTGGCGCCCTCCGTGAGACGGCACGCTAGGCTGCTGCGAGTGGACGCGCGAGTAATGCTGTTGAAGGTTGCGCGCCAGTGGGCCCGGCTACCGTTACCTGGCGTTCCCTCTCTCCTCCCCACCCACACCTTATTTTACCCCTTGGTTGCCCCTTCTCCCCATTTTTATCCCTCTCACCTCTCTCCCATCCTTATGGAACATATCCCTTTTCATCCTTTTCATTCCAGAGCCCTCATCCCTCCTCTTCCTACTTGTTATAATCCCTCTCCTCGTCATCATCTTGTCCCCCCCTCCTGGTTGATCCTTCTCCTTCCTTTTTCCCCTTCTTTCTGCTCCTCCTTCTCCTCCTCTTTTCTCCTCTCTCCTTTTCCTTTTCCTCCTGCTTCTCCTCCTCGTCCTCCTCCTCCATCTCCTCCTCCTCCTGCTCCCCGTCCTCCTCCTCCTCCTTCTCCTCTTCCTCCTCCTCCTCCTCCTCCTCCTCCTCCTCCTCCTCCTCCTCTTCCTCCTCCTCCCCTCCCCTGGAGGTACTCGCCGGCAAGATAGATTTCCCAAAGCACATCCACCCCCGCGCCAAGGCCTCGCTTGGGGCGGGCCCCCCCGAGCCAGCGGGGGGTGGGAACAGGGCAGCGCAATCGAGGGCAGGGCAGGCGGAGAAAGAGGAGGAGGAGGAGGAGGAGGACGAGGAGGAGGAGGGGGAGGAGACGACGAGGGAAAGGAGGAACGGGATCACGAGGACGAGGACGGCGAGACGGGACTGACATGGGGGGGGGGAGGAGGAGGAGGAGGAGGAGGAGGAGGAGGAGGAGGAGGAGGAGGAGGAGGAGGAGGACTTAGGAAAGGGCGCCCCAAGATGAGGAGTCAGGAGGAGAGGAGGAGAGGGGAGGGAGGGGGAGGAGGAGGAGGAGGAGGGAGATGGCAGGAGAGGATGAGAGGTTACCGAAGAGGATGAGGAGGAGGAGGGGGAGGAGGATAAGGAGGAGGAGGACCAGTGGAAATCCAAGAGTCATCGACGGTGTTGGAGTAGACCCTTCCTCCAAGCTCCCTCTTCTTAGGCCCCTGCAGCGGTTCATTTCTACTGAGGGAATTATCTGCTCCGATGGAAGACAACTGCTAGAAGGCCCTGAAGCATGCCGAAACACTCTTCTCGGGAATCCAACGCCACGGAACAACCTGACGGTTGCGTCTTGACGTCCTGCATCGTTCCAGAAGGCCTTTCCCTGGACCTTCAACACGGCGAATCAACAACCTGACGCTCTGGCACGGCTGATCATGGGAATCCGTGAAACTCGTGCTGTTTTTGTTACGAATTGTGCGCGGCGCTGAGGCGAGAGCCACATCGTGAAATCGACCCGCCCTCAGCGCGTTGAAGCTCTTCGTTGGTGTTGAAATCGGTGTGCGCGGCTTTGAGGCGGAGCACATTTTGGAAAAGGAGCCCGCCCCTCAATCCTTGAATCTCTTGCAATGCTTAAAACGAAATTGCGCGGTTCTAAGGCGAGGCCATGTTGAACGACCACGCCTTCAATCGTGAAAACGTTTGCTAATTGTTAACCCAACCGCGAAGGGACTTATAGGTTCTAGGGTGAACTCAAAAGAGCTACACAGATCACTCCACAGGGGGGTCCGGGCAAGCGTTGGGAGTTGCCGGCCGGGCCTGTGCCGGGCTCGTTTTTCACCAACAGTCACACACTTCGTGCTCGTCAACCTCTCAGAACCCCATTCCCAGGCCACATTCTGAATAGCCGGATGCAACAGTCACACACTTGGTGCTCCTTGACCCTCCCAGAACTCCATTCCCGGGCCACATTTCTGATGCCCGGAGCCACTGGTAAACGCCACTTCGTGCTCTTCTATTTCCAGAACTCCATTCCCGGGCCACATTTTGAATGCTCGGAGCCAACTGTAGGCCACTTCGTGGTCTTCGAGGTCCCCAGAACTCCATTCCCGGGCCACATTTTGAATGCCCGAAGCCAACTGTAGGCACTTCGTGGTCTTCGAGTTCCCAGAACGCCATTCCCGGGCCACATTTTGATGCCCGGAGCCAACTGTAGGCCATTTCGTGTCTTCGATTTCCCAGAACTTCATTCCTGGGCACATTTGAATGCCCGGAGCATTGTGGCCATTCCCGGCAGATGTTGGTGCCGGAGCCACTGTAGGCCACTTCGTGGTCTTCGAGTTCCAGAACTCCATTCCTGGGCATGATTTTGAATGCCCGGAGCCAACTGTAGGCCACTTCGTGTTCTTCGAGTTCCCCGAACTACATTCCGGCCACATTCTGCTGCAGGCTGAGGCTGAGCAGGCTGAGGCAGGCTAGGCTGAGGCTGATGCAGGCTGAGGCTGAGGCAGCCTGAGGCTGACGCCGAGGCTGAAGGCAGAGGCTGAGGCTGAGGCTGAGGCTGAGGCTGAGGCTGAGGCAGGCTGAGGCTGAGGCAGGCTGAGGCTGAGGCTGAGGCAGGCTGAGGTTGAGGCTGTGTCTGTGACTGCCGTTGCCACTGCGACTGTCATCGCGAATGCGACTACGACTGCGAGAACAGCACAATTCTACAACTGGATTATCATCTGGATCTTAAGGGGAATGCTTCCAGATATGCTCCTACACATCGCTGTTAGGTTGCTCTGCCGGGATAATTTAAAACGAAAGCGCGGCGCTAAAGCGAGAGCCACATGTTGAAAACAACCCGCCCTCAGTCCGTAGAACTCTTGGTAGTTGTCGAAAACAAATGTGCGCGTCGCTAAGGCGAGAGCCACATGTTGAAAATCACCCGCCCTCCATATGTGAAATTGTTGCCAATGTTCAAGCTTCAGGGTGAAACGCCCGGCCCGCCCTAAAGTCAGGCTTCGGGGTGCGACAGGGCGAAGTTATGTATAAGGAGAAGGAATGGAGGAGGAGAAGGACGAGGATGAGGAGAAATGAGGAAGAAGGGAGGAGGAAGGATGAGCAGCAGGACGGGGAAGAGGAAAACGAATGATAGGCATAGTAAGGATATGATCCAGCTGCCTGCGGCAAACCCCGCCACCGCGCCTGTGCAACAGCGTGGCAGGATGGAGTTTGAATTATTAACGCTTCGCGTCTCCCCACCAGCACATCCAGGAAAGATGCCCAGGGGGCGGCCTTTTTATCGGGGAAGCGTGGCATCAGTTGGAGAGCTCGGGGGACCTCCGTGGGCCAGAGGCTTCTTGGATGCCTCTCGGGGTCGTTCGGGATGCCTCTCGGGGTCTCGTGGAGGCTTCTTGGGGCGTCTTGGGGGCCTCCTGGTGGCGTTTGAGGATCTCTTGGGGCTGACCGAGGGCCTCTTTGAGGCGTCTTGGGGGGCCTCGTGGTGGTCTGCAGAGCCTCTTGAGGCGTCGTGGGTGCCTCTTGGGGGCCTCTTAGGGTCTCTTGAGGGCCTCTTAGGGGCCAATTGGACCGACTTGGGGCCCTCTTGGGGACCTCTTGGGCTGTATTGGAGCTAGCTTGGAGGCATATTTGGCCATCTTGGGCGCTCATAACCCAGACAGGCGAGTACAGAGCGAGTGCTTCCTCAGGCCCTCCTGAAGAGCCTCTTGGGTCGTCGTGGAGTCCTCATGGTCTGCCCTATGGCCGTATTAGGGGGGCCTCTTGATTTGTCTTGGGCCATCGTGGGCCGTCTTGTTGTCATCCTGGCTGTCTCGGATGCCGTCTTAGAGGCCATCTTGCCCGTCTGGAGACAGAAACACCTGCCAGAGAGCGAATTCAGGGGGGGCGGTCTCAGAATGACGCGCGCTGGCAAGGAGGATCGGCCTTAGAAAACATGAAAGCACACCTCACCAGACAACAGAGGAGCCGTATGACACGCCATAACACGCCAACTCCGTGCAGGCACCGTGACGGATGAGTAACAATAAGAAGAGATGGGATTTGACCAGGGTGATGGGGCAAGGAAGGATACTGGGGAGAGGATGTCCTCATGCAGGGGTAAGGTCGGCTGTCTTCTCAGGCAGGGGTGTTCCGTTCGTTACAGTGACGCGTGATCGGAGATCGCAGTGAAACGGAGACCCCCCACCGGGAAATCGATTTCGGCTTCGTGTTCGTGTCGTGCGTGCGGGCGAGGCGAAGTTGCGCGTGATCCTCCTGCAGCTAGGCCGAAGTAGGAGCGAAAGTCCGTTCCCGTCCGCCGGTGGCTGGGAGGTGTCCCAGTTGGGCCGGGCGGTGTCCCGGGTGTCAGTAGGAGCGAAAGTCCGTTTCCCGTCCGCCGGTGGCCGGGAGGTGCCCCAGTTGGGCCGGGCGGTGTCCTGGGTGTCCCGGGTGTCCCGGGCGTCCCGGCGTTCACGCATGTCGCTAATTTCATAATTATTTTTGTTTCGGCGTTTGCGGCGGGCTTTCTTATCCAATCCAGCTTCTCTTATCCAATCCATCTTGTCCGATACAATCCATCTTATTTGGTCCAACCCATATTTTCCCATCTTATCTTACCCCATCCAATCCAATCCACCAAACCCAATCCATCAATTCATGTTTGTCGGCGGCGGGCCAATCTAATCATATCTAATCCATCTTATCTAATCCAACCCATTTCTTCCTATCCAACCCATCTTATCTTATCAAATCCATCTTATCTCATCCAATCCAATCCACCCAACCCAATCCATCAATTCATTTTTGTCGGCACCTGCGGCGGGCTTTCTTATCCAATCCAGCTTATCTTATCCAATCCATCTTGCCCAATCCAACCCATCTTATCTTATCCAACCCATCTTGTCCCATCCGATCTTGTCCCACCCAATCCAAACCATCCAACCCAATCCATCAATTCATTAGTTTTTGCGCCTGCGGCGCGCCAATCCAATCCATCTTATATGATCATATCCGTTTTTCCAATCCAACCCATCTTATCTGACCCAATCCATAGCGAGAGAGCGCGCGAGAGAGAGAGAAAGAGACAGATATTACCTAGTAGGCGATGGTTGTCTCGTGGTTATCTTGTGATTGTCCTGATGGTTGTCTGGTGGTTGTGCCGATGGTTGTCCTGTGGTTGTCCGACAACAAATCGTTTTTCGGCGCCTGCGGCGGGCTTTCTCATTTTGCTTTTGAGGTCGATAGTGAGATCGACAGTGAGATTCACCGATAGGTCGGTCGACGGATAGGTAGATTGTGGGATCTCATCGTCATCGCGACCATGATTGTGGTGGAGGGAGACTCTCATAGAGAGGGAGAGAGAGAGAGGGCGAGAGAGAGAGAGACATAGAGAGTGAGAGAGAGAGAGAGACAAAGAGAAAGAGAGAGAGATAAGATCAAGGTGACAGGCTGGAGGTCAGTCAGGGTGGGCATTTGATCTCAATCCCCCCCAAACCTCCTTATCGCCCGCAGGGCGGTCGTATAGGTATCATAATCGTCCTATTCCTAGGGCATCCTCAACATGCGCTTCCTCCTCAAAATCCTCACGTTCCCTCTCCTCTTCATCCTGTTCAGTATTCCTTCTCTTCCGCGACAGATTCATTGTATAGGCAGCTGGGTGAAGGGTAAGACCCCAAACCTGCCTTGCAGTATCTACGCCTCCCTGGATGAACGCTGTACATCAGCGGCTGGCTGACTGGTTCTCCACAGGAGGAGGAGGAGGAGGAGGAGGAGGAGGAGGAGGAGGAGGAGGAGGAGGAGAACGAGGAGGAGGAGGAGAACGAGGAGGAGGAGGAGGAGGAGGAGGAGGCGGGGGGGTGAGGAGGAAGAAGGAAGTTGCCCACGTCGTCCCGAACATTCGATGCTGTCTCGACTGGGCTCATCGCCGGCTGCTCGTGGCGCTCAGTGCCTGCCAAGCCAGGACTACCCACGAGGCCCCGCAACCCCGCTTCGACTGCTGCTGAGGAGGAGGAGAGGAGAAGGAAGAGCCGAAGGGGTGAGGGGGAGGAGAGGGAGGATCAGGAGGAGGACAAGGAGAAGCTGGAGGAAGAGAGCGAGGAGGAAGGAGGCAGAGCAAGCATAAGGAAAGCGAGCAGGAGGGAGGAATGTATAGCGACGACCAGTGCAGGATAGAGGGGCCTGCCCCTCAAACGCGGCGTTCTCTGGGCGGACGGGTGGGGAGGGGAGCGGGCGGGCGGGCGACGACGACGACGGCGACGACGGTGACGGCGACGGCGACGGTGGCGGTGAAGATGGCGACGACGACGACGACGACGACGACGACGACGACGACGACGACGACGACGGTGACGGTGATGGTGACGGTGACGGCTGCGGCGGCGACGGTGACGGTGACGGTGACGACGATGGCGGCGACGGCGACGGTGATGGCGGCGGCGGCGAGCGGCGGCGGCGGCGGCGGCAGCGAGCGGCGGCGGCGACTGCGGCGACGACAACGGTGGCGGCGACGGTGACGATGACGGCGGCGGCGGCGATGGAGAGGCGGGGGCTGCGGCGACGACGACGACGGTGACGGCGAGGGCCGCGGTGTTCAAGGAGGCGTCGGTTGCGACAACCACGGCGACGACGGACCCCCGGCCGCAGGAGCTCATCAAGCGGCTGCTGACGCACGACAGGGCGAAGCGCTTCGGCTGCCTCAAGAACGGCGCCGAGGCGCCCGGGCGCGCGGCTCGGTGCAGTGGCCCGTCCGTCCTCGCCGGTCGTCGCAGGCCGCCGTCGTCGTCGGCGGTCGTCCGCCGCCGCCGCTTTCAGTGGCTGCCCGTCGCCCTGGTCGGTCGTCGCTTCTCCGTCGTCGCCCCGCGCCGTCGCTGTCCGCCGCCGCCGCCGATGGCAGCTGCCTGCCCAGGGCAGCCGCCGGGAGGCGCGGAGGTAGCCGGGAGCGCCGCGGCTCGCGCCCGCTGGGGCGCGGAGGTGCTCTGCTCCCCTCGGGGGGCGGCGGCGGGGCCGCCCTGCTCTCGCTGCAGCTCAGCAGCCAAAGCGCACGCACGCACACACGCACGCACACACACGCACACACACACACACGCACACACACACACACACACACAAAAAAAAAAAACACACACACACACACACACACGCACGCACCCACGCACACACACACGCACACACACACACACACACACACACACGCACACACACACACACACACACACACACACACACACACACACGCACACAAGCACACATACATACAGGTGTGTGTATATGAATACATTGGATGAATACCTACCTAAGGGCGGCCTTCCAGAGGGGGCCTCGCACTCGGGGAGTGCGGGAGTGTGCGTCTCTTGCTCGGCGGGAGGCGGCGGAAGCAGAACGGGGGCGGCTCGGCTGGCGGGAGCTGGCGGAAGCAAACGTCGGCCAGAGCCCGCCCAGGGTAACCCCCTGCATCCTTGCCTCTTCGGCCCGCCCTTGGCCAACTTCGCTGGCCGCGCGCCGCTGGAAGGAAGCCCCAGCCGGGGCGTCCAAGGGCCTTTGCAGCTGCACGTCGCATGCCTGCTGCACGCCCTGCCCGCGGCAGGGAGTGTCGGTCGGACTCGGCTCCCAGGGTCGGAGGAGGAGGAGGAGGCGGAGGAGGAGGAGGCGGCGGCGGAGGCGGAGGAGGAGGAGGAGGAGGCGGAGGAGGCGGAGGAGGAGGAGGAGGAGGAGGAGGCGGCAGCGGCAGCGGAGGAGGAGGAGGAGGAGGAGGAGGAGGAGGAGGAGGAGGAGGCGGAGTGGTTGGGCCCCCCCCCTCTTCGAAGCAGGGCCCACGCGCCCCCCTCGCCGGGGCTCACAAGTCCCAGAGCTCCGACGCGGTGGTTCCTCACGACGTGGTCTCCCCGAGGTCTGGACCTTCTCCCCGGGGGCTGGCTCGCCGTCCCGAGACGTCCTCTGGCGGCCCCCGGGCCCCGCACGGCTCCGCCCCAGAGCTCCGACGATGTGATGTTTGCAGTCCCGGCGCTTTCCCTCGCTGCCGGCTTATGGGGCAATTCTCAGGCACAGGGGCCATCAAGAATGGTCCCGGGACGGAAGATCGAGCCAGAGACGCTGCCAAAGAAGGAGCAGGTTGGGTTCGCAAAAGGGGGTCGCTGATACTGGGGTCCTTCCATGATTGTTCCTCGAGCGCTCCTCGTGTACCCAGGCGCCCCTGGGGCCCCAAAGGGGCTCCGTGCCCTATCAAGCGCTTCTCATAGTACGTACCAGGAAGCTCGGTACCATAACGCGGCTGGCCCGGACGAGAGCTGGATAGGTACGTGTGGCCACATGTCTTGCTGGCGCTCGGCCCTTTCTGGGCGAGGCCCGCTGACCCTCCGAATGCAGATATCTAGCGCGGAGTCTCCAGATGTTCCACGAGCGATTCCAGCCACGTTTGTTCCCAGCTTCCTGGCCAGAGCCTGCTTGTGCCCCTTTCTTGGAAGGGGTCGGAACCTCCCCGGGACCGGTCATTGACCTCCTTGGGGCCAGGGCCGGAACGAGTAGCACCGTGGGATGCCTAGGGCCCTCGTCCTTCTCATACTTCCCCGCCTCCTCCTCCTCCTCTTCCCTCCCTCGTCCCCCTCTCGTCTCTTCCCTCCCCCCTGCCCATGTCGTGGGAGCGAGCCAGGCTCGGGCAGCTCTGGGGCACCCGGGGTTGGGCAGGAGGCCCTCGTGTTCCCGCGCTCTCCTCCGCCCAGCGGCGGCGGCGGCGGCGAGGGTCTGTTCCCACACGCGCGTGTCCTGAGCAGGAAGGGGAAGGTAGAGGAGGAAAGAGGAAAGGCGAGGGGAGGGGAGGGCAGCAAGAGAGGGCAGGGAGGGGCGGGAAGGAAAGGGAAGGGAAGGGCAGGGAAGGGAGGAGGAGAGGGAGGAGGAGGGGGAGGAGGAGAGGGAGGAGGAGGAGGAGGAGGAGGAGGAGGAAGGGAGGACGAGGACGAGGGACGAGGACGAGGACGAGGACGAGGACGAGGACGAGGACGAGCACGTGGACGAACAGGAGGAGGAGGAGGAGGAGGAGGAGGAGGAGGACCCCAATTCTCCCAGTAGCGTTGGCTTGCGATGTCCATGCCCCGTCCCGTTCAGGGCAGCGACAGTTTTTTGCCACAGGGGGCACCAGACGACTCCACAGCGGAGGAGGAGGAGGAGGAGGAGGAGGAAGAAAAAGAAGAAGGAGAAGAAGAAGAAGGAGAAGAAGCAGAGGAGAGGAGGAGGAGGAGGAGGAGGAGGAGGAGGAGAAGAAGAAGGAGCAGGAGGAGGAGGAGGAGGCGGAAGAAAAAGAGCAATAAGAAGAAGGAGAATAAGCAGAGGAGACGAGGAGGAGGAGGAGGAGGAGAAGGAGCAGGAGGAGGAGGAGGAGGGAGGAGGAGGAGGACGAGGAGGAGGAGGAGGAGGAGGAAGAAGAAGAAGAAGAGGAGAGGAGGAGGAGGACAAGGAGGAGGAGGAGGAGGAGGAGGAGGAGGGCGGAGGAGGAGGGAAGAGGAGGCGGAGGACTGGAATAGACACAGGATGCACCATCGATGCAGCAATACGCCCTCCCGTTCCACATCTCCTCCTCACAAGTCCCCGCAGATGTTTGTTACGTTTGATTGTTGGAAGCGCCCCCCTCTAACAGACGAGCGCCCCGTGGGTGTCGTTCGGGCGAGACTCCGCTTTTCTCCAATTAGGCTTGCCTAAGGGGTTCTTACTGGGTTGAAGGTTGGTGCCTCCTATTGTTACTTTGCCCGTTGCTTGGAGGTTCCTCGGGTTCTGGTGCCTCCTATTGCTCGCCAATCAGGCTTGCCTAAGGGTTTCTTACTTGGATCAAGGTTGGTGCCTCATTGTTCCTTTGCCCGCTCCTCGGAGGTTCCTCAGGTTCCCGGGTTCCTCGGGTTCCCCGCTGCCCGTTCCTCGGAGATTCCGCAGGGTCCCCGGGTTCCTCGGGTTCCCCGCCGCCACCACACCAGAGTTCATTTCGTCGAGTTCGCTCCAGGTTTATTTTCAAAAGGAAATCCCTGAATTAGGGTCACGCCAGGTTCATGCAAAGGACACATCGTCCATCCAGCTATGAGACATGCATAGAGGCAGGGTCATAAAACCCTAGGTGGTGTTAAGCGATAGCTCCGTTTTGAATCAAAGGGCTGCGCTAGACCCATTTGGGCGCTTCATGCTTTCAAAGCTCTTGTCATGAAATCCTAGGAAGTCTCAAGCGAGAGAACCAGATTAAATGGCCGCCGCCCTCCATCCACATAGTTATTTACAGGCATGAGTTTCGGATAATGAGGGTTCAACCGGTATCAAGCGATGGCCCCGGTTTGAAAACAGACCGCCTTCCACCCGTATTATTGTTGAGATGTTTTGAACATCGGGCCATACGATGCAAGGGAGTCTCAAGCGAGAGCCCCTTTTGAAAACGCTCCCCCCATCCGTGTAATGGCTTCCTCCTTGTTTGAAGCATGTGCGCGGCGCCAAGACGAGATCCTGAGTTTGCCCCCACCCCACCCCCACCCCCCTTTCGTTCGTTGTGCCTCTTGGATGGTTGGAGCAGGAGGAGTCGCAGAGGGAGGAGGAGGAGGAGGAGGAGGAGGAGGAGGAGGAGGAGGAGGAGGAGATGGAGGAGGAGGAGGAGGAGGACCCCAATTTTCCCAGTAGCGTTGGCTTGCGATGCCCCGTCCCGTTCAGGGCAGCGACAGTTTCATTGCCGCGTGCTGTATCTGTGTCTCTGCGCTCTCGCACCTCGGCACCGCCTGTCCCCCCGGGCCCCGCCCCGCCCGCTCCGGCCGCCTGAGGCCCCGCCCTCCTGTGCCCTGTCTCCCTAATGAAAGTTGTGCGTAGCCCGCCTGGCTTTTAGCGGAAGAGGTTCGCTCTCGCCCCGCAGAGCAAAACAAAAATTGTGCCTCTCCGCTCTCGAGGAGGGCGCCGCTCATCCGCGCGCGCCTTTCCTCGCCGTGTCGGCGCCGGGCCCGGGACTGCTGGACGGGCCCCATGGCCTGGCCGGGGCGGCGTGCGCTCCGCTCCCGGGCTCGGGGCCGGCCTGGCCAGGGCGGCGTGCGCGTGAGCAGCTGGCGTCTCGTGGTCTCGAGGGCCGACGGACACGTCGCTGTCGCCCACTCCCCAGACATCCGACGTCTCGATTTTTTCGAGACGCGGGCCCCCGACCTCCCAACCACTTCCCTGGGACCGGTTTTTCATCCCGAGTCGTTTTTTGACGGTCCCGAGGCCCGGCGAGGGCCCCGAGAGGCCAAACACTATGAAAACCCTTTGTCTCGATCTTTTCGAGACGCCCGATGTCTGGGTCTGTGTGCACACCAGTCCTGGCCTGGCCAGGATCGGAGCACGCGTGCAGCTGGCGTCGCCGACCTCGGGTGTCGCCTGAGCGGCCACTGTGGCCCGATCTGGCCGCGGGCGGCACGCCCCCACCGATGGGGCGGTCGTGGGGTGTTTTTGTCGGCGATGGTGGTGGCAAAGACGACGACGACGACGACGACGACGACGACGACGACGACGAGGACGACGACGAGGACGACGACGAGGCGAACATTGGTACTATCTGGGACGAGGGCGGACACGAAGGCAGCGGAGGCGACGGCACCAGCCCAGGACATCCAGTACCACAAGTGGTACAAGGCCGTGGACTGGAAGAAGCTGGTCGCCAGGTGGCGCCGCCCACGTGGAGGAGGAGGAGGAGGTGGAGGAGGAGGAGGAAGAGGAGGAGGAGGTGGAGGAGGAGGTGGAGGAGGAGGAGGTCGAGGAGGAAGAGGAAAAGGAGGAGGAGGTGGAGGCAGAGAGGAGTAGGAGGAAGGAGGTGGAGAGCGAGGAAGGTGGGGAGGAAGGAGGTGGTAGGAGAAAAGGAAGAGGTGGAGGCGCGGAGGGGGGTGCAGGAGGTGGGCGGAGGGGAGGACGAGGAGGAGAACGAGGAGGAGGAGAGGAGGAGGAGGAGGAGCGAGGAGGAGGAGGTGGTGGGGGAGGAGGAGGAGGAGGTTGGAGAGAGGAGGAGGAGGAGGAGGAGAGGAGGAGGAGAGGGGAGGAGGTGGAGAGGAGGAGGAGGAGGTTGAGGAAGAGGAGGAGGTGGGGGAGGAGGAGGAGGAGGAGGAGGAGGTGGAGGAGGAGGTGGTGGTGGAGGAGGAGGAGGAGGAGGAGGTGGACGAGGTGGTGGTGGAGTGGTGGTTGTGGAGGAGGTGGAGGAGGAGGAGGAGGAGGTGAGAAGGGAGGAGGAGGAGGAGGAGGAGGAGGAGGAGGAGGAGGAGG